TATAGGCTGGTGGTCTTTATATAGACCTGGTCACTATAGGCAGTTAGTCAATACAAACAATAGGTCGCCTTTAACCCATTAAATTCTGAAGTTAATTTTTTTCACTGTTCACATCTACATTGTTTAATACAAATTATGTCTATTCCATTTCAAATTGACATAAAGTTTTTAAAAAATTACATGAAAATATAAATATTTTGGTGGAAAAAATATGACATTAAGTTGAATTTCTATCTGCTGAGAAAACAGGTGTCAGTTACGGTTGATTGGTTGCATGAAATATTAAATACCTTGATGTATTAAGGGGTTTCCAGTGTCCGTATTTAATTTCTTGTTGATATCCGGATACCGTTCCTTAATATGTATTGACCTACTTACAGTTTCCTTTGAATGAGAAAGTGATTACCTGTCAAAAACTACTTTTTAACAAATAAAAAATACATCAGAACCATTCTATATCTGCTAATGTGAATTGGGTTAATGTGATTTGGGCTGATTTAAGATTTACTTATATCGGTATTTTTAAGATGAAGCATCACTGAACAGTTTCAGCTTGGCAAAGAAAGCAATTGCGTTGAAATACGAGTAGAATTACAAAAAAAAAAAAAAGCAAGTGTCAAGATTAACTGTAAATGCTATATTTATTCACTGGTTTTAATTTCTGTTTTTCCATTGCATGAACAAGACACAACAGCATTCCATGGCTGACAGTAATGTACATGTGTGAGAATATTTGATAGCAAACATGGAATATATTGACATCTTCTGTGATGATTCACATGTTATTATTTGATAAGTATCACAAGATTCTGTACAATTAAGCTTGCTTAGGTGAACAAGGCCAAATAAATTAAATAGTGGGTTTCTAGTAACATTAAAGAAAATAGATTATGCTGTAACATTTTATTTTGTCACATTTTTTTTTATTTTAACTAATCTTGAAATTGTTGTCAACAAGATGTTTCTGGACATGTTGGATGAACAGGATCATTTTGCAAATTGAATTTGCATAATAGATAATGAATTTACATAATACTTTATCATGTACATATATGGATATATATGAATTCACTTAATACTTTATGATGAACTTATATGGACATATGAATTTACATAATACTTTATCATGTACATATATGGATATATATGAATTCACTTAATACTTTATAATGAACTTATATGGACATATGAATTTACATAATACTTTATCATGTACATATATGGATATATATGAATTCACTTAATACTTTATAATGAACTTATATGGACATGAATTTACATAATACTTTATCATGTACATATATGGATACATATGAATTCACTTAATACTTTATGATGAACTTATATGGACATATGAATTTACATAATACTTTATCATGTACATATATGGATATATATGAATTCACTTAATACTTTATGATGAACTTATATGGACATATGAATTTACATAATACTTTATCATGTACATATATGGATATATATGAATTCACTTAATACTTTATAATGAACTTATATGGACATATGAATTTACATAATACTTTATCATGTGCATATATGGATATATATGAATTTACATAATACTTTATAATGAACTTTTATGGACATATGAATTTACATAATACTTGATGATGTACTTATAAATTCATAATAAGTACAAGAAGTGAACATATTCTATCAGTCATTTTCAGGTGAGGCGAGGTTGGGTTAGCGAAAACACAATATTTTTTTTATTCAGCCCAATTACTTAAAATGCTCAAACCTTGGTTCTCTTTGATAGGTTAATGTGCAGTCATGTGAGAAAGATATCAATGACAGCCTGAAAAAAGAAATTGAAGACTTGAAAAGTAAAAATAGAAGTTTATCACTA